AAGGTTCAAAATCATAGGAGATATATATCATGTATATATATGTAGATCAATGGCAATTTTTTCCCTAAAAACCCAAATATGTTTTTAAGGATATTCATCACATTTTTTTATCTCTTCTATAAAAATGTTTTTATATTATGCTTTAAAAAATCACTTTACAATTTTAAACAATACCATTTATTGCAATATTTTAGTTTTTCAGAGTAGATGTACATTTCCCTATTCCTCCCTCTGTGTACAACTTTAAAACCCTAAATATTATATATAAAACAAACAAGAAAATTCTGAAAGGTGAGGAGAAGAAGGCAGAGCAGCTAGGAACTTCGTGGGCTGAAGAACAACATGACATGACAGTGAGCTCCCTGGGTTTTCTTTTTGCCACATTTCTCCCAGGTTTGTAGATAAAGAAGCTGGCAACCCATAAGCACCAATAGGAGCAGACAATAAAAACCCCAACAAAGGCCTGATCTCTGCAGCCAAAGTCCCCAGAAAGAGACAGCCTAGCAAAACAGAAAACTTTGAGACAGTAACAATTTAACTAATTTGACTATAACCAAACACCATAAGAAAAAAAAAAAATAAAGCCTCATCCCAATGCCTATCAGCACAGGTCAAGTGCAGAGCCTAGACAGAATAGAAAAGCTGCAAAATATTTGGAACAAAACTGATAGAACTGAAAGAAGAAACAAACAAATCCAAAATTATACTTGGAAACTTCAGCATCCCTCACCAACAATTAGTAAAACTAGATAGAAAATCAACAGGATATAGAAGAACTGAACAATATCATCAACCAACAGAATCTACTCAACATTTAATAAAACACCCTATCCAACAATAAGAAAATATACAGAACCCCAAAATACTCCCAGACAGCATGGCCAACTGATTTTTGACAAAGGTGCAAAGGCAGTGCAATGAAAGGATAGTGTCTTCAATAACTGTGCCAGAGCAGTTGGCTATCAATGGGCAAAATAAATGAAACTCGATCTAAACCTGACACCGTATACAAAATTAAGTCAAAATGGATGATAGATTTAAATGGCAAACATAAAACTATAAATCTTTTAGAAGGAAACATAGGAGAAAACCTTCAGAAACTAGGGGTTGGTGAAGAGTTCTTAGACATGACAACAAAAGCACAATTCATAAAAGAAAAAATTGATAAGTTGGACTTCATTAAAATGAAAAACTTTTACTCTTGCAAAAGGATGAAAAGACAAGCTACAGGCTGGGAGAAAATATTTACAAACTACTTATATGATAAGGGAGTCATACCTAGAATTTACAAAGAACTCTCAAAAGTTCAACAGTAAAAACACAAATAATTCAATTAGAACATGAGTAAAAGATATGAGACATTTCACTGAAGAAGACATATAAATGGCAAATCAGTTCATGAAAAAATGTTCACTAGCTTAAGGTAAATGTAAATTAATATTACAAAGAGAAATCACTGTACACCCATTAAAAGAGCTAAAATAAAAAATAATGACAATATCAAATGCTGACAAGGATGTATAGAAGCTGGATCTCTCCTATACTGCTGGTGGGAATGTAAAATAGTACAGTCACTCTGGAAAATAGTTTGGCAATTTCTTTTAAAATAGAACATATGCTTATATATCCTAGCAATCCTACTCCTGGGCATTTATTCCAGAGAAATGAATACTTATGTCCACATAAAAACCAGTACATGATTGTTCATTGCAGCTTTATAAATGGAAAAGCCAAAACTGGAAGTAAACAGAATGTCCTATAAGAAGTAATGGTTAAACAAAGAAAAAAGAGAAAAAGATTTATCAAAGGTGATAACTTGAAATTAAAAAAACTGAAAGTTATCTGGCAACTTCTTTTTATTGTAATTTTCAAGTCTGGTGTTATATCTATACCATGGAATACTACACAGTAATAAAAAGGAATGTATTGCTATACAGAAAAGCCAGTATGGCTTCCAAGGACATAATGCTAAGTGAAAAAAGAGCATTTCAGAAAGTCATGTACTATGTGATTCCATTTGTATAACATTCTTGAAATGACAAAGTTATAGAAATGGAGAACAGATGAATGGTGTCAGGGGTTATTGATGGTGGTAGAGGTTGGATATGACTGTAAAGGAGGAGCCCAGGGAAATATTTTGGGGTGATGGTATAGTACCTTGCTTGCTGAACTGGTTGCATGGATCTATGCACGTGTTAAAATGACATAGAACTGTACACACACTTTATACCAATGCCAATTTCCTGGTTTTAATGTTGTACTTTAGTTACCTAAGATGTAACCATTGGGGGAAACTGGGTGAAGGATACACAGGACCTCTCTGAATCTATAATTATTTCGAAATAGAAATCTAGAGAAGAGAAAATATGCAAACCTTGTAATGCATTCTTTCAAAAAAAATACATTCCCTAAATAAATCTTTTCAAGGATTTTATGATGCCAAATTTCTCAACTTAATAGCTTCTCTCTTTCCAACAGTTGACTAAACCAAATTACTTATATACTGGAAGGTGACTGCTTATTTTTTAAATTAATAGCAGACTAAATAATGCTATAAATTTTATACTTGCCATGTCTTAAGTAACTAATTTACAATTGCTAATGGGTATCTAAGGATCAAGGACATGAAAATCATGATTTAATCAAAAACCTCATTTAACCCATTAGTTGCAACGTCATTATTGACCTCAAGGGCAGGCACTTTTGCTGAAGCTGCCAACAAGAAAACAAAATGTGACTGATTTTTTACTTTTCTCTATTTAAAAAGGAATTAATGAATATAAATATGTCCCAAATTGATAGCTTCCATAACACATACTTTGGAAACTCTACACCTGAATAATTAGACCACTGATTATGTCTGGAACATAAATTAAGTGCTCCAATTTAGTCTTATTTAGACCTGAAAATTACAATAAAAAAAGAAGTTTCCAGATTACTTTTAGTTTTTTTTAATTTCAAGTTACCACCTTTGATAAATCATTTTTCTTGAAAAGACATATTTATTGAACTGCTAGACTCTGCCATTCTTTAATTGCTAATAGCAGCCCATCCAAATATGTCTCACGTTCTACTTTCATAATTTACTAACAAAGTTAAAATGCATGTGGGAATATTTTAAAGGAGTCTATTGGAATGCATAATGGTATTCTGTTTTTTTAAGTGAGTAGGGAAAAGTCAGAGAGGGAAGATCTCTTCTGAATTGTATAAATATACACCCACAGTCCCTTATCTGCAATTCTGAAGTCCTCAAAAACTCTGAAAAGTAAAGGTTTTATACAACTCAATTGGTGGCAAGACTGAGCCTGAACGAACCTGGGGCTTTTTTTATAGCTTCTATGTAATACACGAGTGTCAATATTCCTACCTTTACTGCAGAAATGTACATGTGTTATGCTCAGGATGCTGGCCCTGGGAATATCATATAATATACAGTATATGCATGTTCCCTTTTCAAAATCTGAACATTCCTGACTTACGAGACACATCTAGTCCCAAGGCCTTGGGATGAGAGATTATGAACCTGTCCTAGAAAAGTACAGGATAGATGTTCATATAGCACTCGAGAACAGGAACTTATTTATGTGGCAAATGAATCTAGGAGCACAGTTATTTCATAACATTAAATTTGGGAGGAGATTCAGATAAGCACCAAGCTGATCTTTTATTTCATTAAGAAGCAAACTGGGGCATTGAGCAACTTGCCCGAGGTTACCCAGCTACAGTTGGAACCATGGCAGTCTGGCTTTAGAAGTCATGCTTTTAAACCACAAAGATTTTGTTACTGAAGACTTAACCTGAAAGCCTCCTCTGTCATAGCAGAATGAGACTGAGTCTCTGAGCTGAAAACAGGAGGATTTTGTGAAAGTCCATACCCTTATGGATAAAACCCCAGGCTCCAGGAAACTGGCAGCCCAGTTCATATTCCCCAACTATGAAACTGGAGGATCCTTTTAAGGAGTAAAAATGAACAGCTACAAAAAAAAACAAAACTATGCGAACTGGCCTCAGTTGATCCTCTACTGCAGGGTTCACCTGTCCAATATTAGCTTTGCACACTGAACTTCCAACCAGCTATTACTAAATAGCAGCTTATTACATAGGAATAGATTCAGGGATCACCAGACATTTAAGGAAAATGTCAAACATGAAACAGATTAAAGTAAACAATCAATAAGAAGGAGCCTAGACAGGACAGAGGAAACACAAAAAACAGATAAAGTTTCAAAGAATATGTCATGAGTACTGTTAGAGATTAATAGAAGAAATTACATCCATAAAAGCAGAAAAAGGACACTATAAAACAGGTGTTGCAATAAAGGATAAGATAGAGCACGTGGAAGTTAAAAATATGATAGCTGAAATTTAAAAGTTCAATAAAAGTTTGGAAGATAAAGTCAATGAAGTTCCCCAGAAAGTAGTTCAAGAAAACAGAGACAGGAAAAATTAGAGAAGTTATCCAGGAGGCTCAGAGGTTTATTTCAGAAAGAGAAACAAAGAAAATGCTGCAAAGGAAATTATTAACTTATGGAATGGTTTCAAGAACTGAAAAACATGAGTCTTTTATTTTTTTTATAAATTTATTTATTTATTTATTTTTGGCTGTGTTGGGTCTTCGTTTCTGTGCGAGGGCTTTCTCTATTTGTGGCAAGCGAGGGCCACTCTTCATCTCGGTGTGCGGGCCTCTCACTGTCATGGCCTCTCTTGTTGCAGAACACAGGCTCCAGATGCGCAGGCTCAGTAGTTGTGGCTGACGGGCCCAGTTGCTCCGCAGCATGTGGGATCTTCCCAGACCAGGGCTTGAACCCATATCCCCTGCATTGGCAGGCAGATTCTCAACCACTGCACCACCAGGGAAGCCCAACATGAGTCTTTTTTAACATTATCCTTAAGAACATATTTAAAGGGGCACTTGTCATGTAGTCATGGAACTATAGTTGAAAGGCTGAGGAATCTTTATGAGCCTTTTCAATAAATGTACTTTCGCTTTTCCTTTTTAGGGGCACAGCAATTGCTGGCATAGTATTTGGAATCGTATTCATCATGGGGGTCATTGCTGGAATTGCCATATGTATCTGCATGTGCATGAAAAACAACCGTGGGACACGGGTGGGTGTCATCAGGACCACCCACATCAATGCCATCTCCTCCTACCCTGGTAAGCAAAACTGCTTACTCTTTCTGAAGGAAGAGTCAGATTTGTTAGTTATGCTGTACTCCTGGGGTAGAAGACTCTCACTGGAATAATCTCCAAGTATGTAGGATATTTCTAAATTAATGCAGATTGAAGCTCTAACTTTCAATGAAGATTACTTAGATCCACATAATAAAATCTACCTTCTATTTGAATACATTCATATTTTCAGTGGTTGTCTTATTGACTACAGTTGCCAATCAGCCATAGTAAAGAGGAATAGACAATTCACACCCACTGTGTCTATTTGCTAGTGAGTTCTGACAAATAATTGTAGAGAAAGAATAAGTTACATGGCTGAATTAACTGGCGTCTGATTCAATAGGTATGTATGTCTTGAGAAAAAGTATTGAAGAACGTTTTTATGTGTCCCCCTTATGCAAAGAAAACAGTCTTAACATAATACTAAAATTATCAGCAAAAAGGTAATTTATTAACAATTTGACAAGGATTTCTTGAGAATTTACTAGAAGTTCCACATATAAATATATTGAACACATAAACAAAGTGCTGCATTTTGCCTTGATTTCAATAGCATTTTTAAGTCAACCTGTATATATATATATAACTTGATATATAAAAAGGAGTCAAGTTCTACATTTAACAAATCCTTAGGAAGATAATTTTCTATCCATACTCATGTCCTCTCTCTCAGTGCCTATAGGAAAGGAATAAGGTAGCTTCTACATCCAGTCTGCCCTGAGTATAAATTCCCTAGTAATGTCTCTCCGCTCTTAACTTTTTCCCTACCATCTTCAGCTTGAGGGAGCAAATTTCAGATGAGTGCGAGCATGGTCATTTTCCCTGTCCTCTTTTGTCCATTCTCCCTCTTCTCCAATATCTCCATGTTAGACTGCTTCCAGGCTCACTCTTGTGTCTTCTTCCATCCTGTATCAACGCTCACTTCTTTGGTTCTATCATTTGGCCTCATGGTATTAAGTACCCTTTACATGCTAAATGCCTTCCAACATTATATATCTCCCTTCCAAACCTCTTTCCTGAATTTCAGACTCATTTGATCCCACTGCCGGTTGAACATCTACACTTGGATGTCTAACTGATATATCTCAAATTTCACATGTCTAAAGCTGTACTTCCGAACATCCCCCCAAAGCCTCCTCCACTCACCATTCACCGTCTCAGTTGATGGCATCTCCAGCCTCCCAGCAGCTCAGGCCAAAGACCTTGGCGTCATCCTGGACTCCTATCTTT